GTTTGTCTTTTGACAATGTGCAGCGAGGTGACATAACACCGCAGTAATCAGGGATACTTTGAATGGGGAAAAAAAAAGGAAAAACACAAAGGCATGACTTAGATTCCTTTCCTAAGCTCCTGGAAATGAAACAGAAATGTTAACTCGATAATAAGGGTAAGGCATTGTTAAAATATCAAATAACTTTGTTTTTGAACAGCTATGTGGGCTGAGATCTCCAACTGTTACCCAAGGCATGAGCTGTTGACACACCAGATAGGCGTCTATTCTCAAATTGGGTTTTTATAGTCCATGTCTGCAGCTGCCCCTGTGCTTCAAAAAGAGAGAAACAGGCTGTTCTTGAGGACATGGTTTATCATCACTCCTGCACAGTTTTTCATTGAGGATAGGGAAAATTACTTTTTGGTTACATTGACAACTTGTTTTCATCAAAAGTTGATCATAGTATAGTTCAGAAACTTTAAAGGTTATTTCAGACATTTTAAGAGTGAAGTTCTGCAACATTATTAACCAGAATAGTTCATTTACCTGGAGTATGAAGATATCAGTGAATAAATCCTCAAATTGGCAGATGGATAATTGACGACCATGGTCTCGGTAGCTTTAGCAATAGAAAAAAGCTGATCATTTGTATAAAAACTGAAAATGTTTATATCTATGGAATGTATTGCTAAATTATTGAATATTTACATTCAATAATTTAGCTGTTAAGCTGTTAAGTTTATCACTGCCGTTTCAGTTTAACTGCTTTCTATGGTAAAGATGGTTGACTTTATTAAGTTTATTGTTGTCTTCATATTACTATTCTAAGATGACATTTTGTGAAGTTGTCACCTGCATCATTTGCGGCTGCAGAAATTATTTTTAGATGTGTACAACACCTATAAAATCACCATTAAGATCCATCTTTGAAGACATGTATTAGAGACCTAAAATCTATGTAAATTTTGCTTATAGATTTAGAATGGTGTGCTAATCCTGTTAAATATGGAAAACCAAATGTGAGAAGAGAGGTAACACACCCTGACTTCATAGAGTGGAACACTGTGAATTCCACACTATTGATCCCAATACTCATGCTTGACTCAAACTGGGAGAAGATTCAGACCAACACTCATGTTTGAAAAACCTGATGTTTCACAAAATATGTTTCATTTCATTTTATACCTGCAGAACATGTGTTTTTTAAAATGGTCACGTTGCAAGAAAGAAAATAGCACGAGAGCAGCTTTTAAACTGTCTTGCTGTCTTGGTGTTAATGTTTCTCATCTGTTGGAAGAGAGCATTTTCATCCTGAGTTGTGTTAAGTTGCAAAAATAAGTAATATGTCTGGTTATTCCGTAGTCATCAACGATTTATTTATTATGAGGGTCAGTTTAGATCTTTCTACTCTAGGGAAGGAAAATATTTTGATAACTCCACAGAGCTTCACTTAAAAACCTTAACCTATTCTTTTATTTTGTTAGCTATAGGTACAAGGGGGATTAATTTAATGATACTGATCAGTATCTGAAAGCTGAGCAGATGAAGCAGACCCTCCAGCACATCTGGCTAACTGGACTGATGAAAAGTAGAGTTTCTGTTGCTTCTCTTGCCAAGGACAAATCTTTGCTAATTTTCTTGGCAAGGACAGACTCATGTCCAGACGTTTTTTTTTTCTTTTTCGTATAGTCGGTGCAACCTCATTCTTGCAGCTCTCTGACTGACGAGGCTTTCCTCAGGCAGTATGCACGGGTTCAGTCTTGCACAGTTCACTCTGTGTAGACATCATAAGTAGAAGTTCTGTTTCTCATGCAAGCATTTCTAAGTTCTGCTCTCTGTGTTTTAAATATCTGCAGAAGACAATGCATTTTCTAAACCTTTCAAATGCCAGACATTTGCAGATACTCTTACACAGGTACAGTGCGACTAATACAGTGCTGGTATATTCCTTTGGTGAGAGTAACGGAAAAGTTAGAGGTAGGTCAGTAGGGTAGACCACAAAACATTGAGCACTGTTTAACATCAACTCCCGTGTTGTGCATTAAATTGTTGAACAGCTAAAAATCTTTATTGCTCAGTATTAGACCTCGCTTCAAGCTATCAATAAACCTGAAGCACTTGCAGAATTGATGTCAAATGGCAATATGTCGTATATGTTCAGCCCATATAATGTTATGACTTTCAGCAGATCTGCAGTTATGCTTTGCTGAATTAATGGGGGTTTTATATTTCCAAACTCTTGGGACTTCAAAATCTTGAAGCAATTCCTCGAGCAATTGCACCACCAATATCTATCTTGAGACCGAAAGCTCATTAAAGTTTCAAAATGCTACATTAAAAAAGTATATCTTGCCTTTTCCCTGAATGTTAGATTCTTTGACTTTGTTTTCCCAACGCTACAAATATCATCATCCACATTTCCCAGCTGCATGCTGTTTGTAGATAAAAGGCCCTTGTCTTAATGAAAACAGGATAATTTTAGCAACAGTGACTGCTATGAAGTTAAAAATGGCTGTTTCCATTGATCTGTGTGCTATTTTGAACTTTTTGATTTGCAAAGTGATCTATTTTAAACAGAGGATGTGTTATCTTCATTAATATATCAGTCTTCCTTGGATATATCCAGGCAGCTTTGCATTTAAAGATTTAATTAATATTACTTTTCAAACTTTGTGAAGTACACTAAACGCAAAGAGTTTTTGAAGCTTTTGCTGGGGTTTAAGTTTTAGCAGACCATGTTCTATGCATTGTCAGGAATAAAAGAGATTTTCTCCAAGCAAAGAGAAGCTTCTGGATATAAGTGCCAAATTCAAAATATGAGACATACTTAGAAACTTATACACTGCTTTACAAAATATTTTATTCTCCTTAAACTTTTCTACATTTTGGTATTACCGAAAACTGCAATGTAAATAATTGGTATTTGGTTTGTCCTGCAATATTTTAGTTCTAATCTTTACTCTGGCACCCTCAAATAAAATCATTTGCAACCAATTAACTTCAGCAATGTCAAGAAGATAGACATTGCTGAAACAATGCTTTACTAATTTCTTCTAATTACTATCAGAACTCTCAATAATTACTTGTAGGACTTTTGAATGCAAATATGTTGGAAAAGCAGCACTGTATGCTATAATAAACACACCACCTCCACAGTCAAATGAGGTGGTGGCAGCCTCATGCTGTGGGATTGCTTTTTCTCGGCAGGAACAGTGAAACACATGAATGTCTCACCTCTCAGATTTCTATTTGTGAAAAGTTTTAATAATTCAGTAAAGTATTTTTCAACTATTCGTCACTTTGTGCTTGTCTTTGTGGAAAAAGGTGCGCTGGTCAGATAAAATCAAAAAGGAAACATTTGGTATACATGTAAAACATATAACTGTGAACATGCCACCCCCACTATGAAATGTGATGGTGGCAGCATGAGGCTGTGGTCACACTGCAGGGACAGGTTCCCAGCAGCCGAGTGCCCCCCTCCAAACAAACAAAGTATTCTGTGCAAATCCATGAGATAAAATGAACTCAGTCAGTATTTACTCAGGGGGCTAAACACAAATGTAAGCCTCGCTTTTCAGATGCCAATCTACAGAACATTTAAAAGACAAGCATCATTTTCTTTGCAGCAATTATGCGTTATGTTTGTCTGTCATACAAAGTATGTTATTTGTGGTTACAACACGACAAAATGGGAATAGCATAAGGGGATTAAATACTTTTGGAAAGTACAACAGTTCACTGTTGTAAGAGTTTCTGCTATTTACATTTGGAAAAGTCTCCCAGGTATGTGACCTCTCGAGAACTGATGATTTCTTCAAATCCAGTAGAAGATTATCATAATGGCTGTTTTGTCATAACTCACTTAAGTGTTTAAAATTTTCACTGACAGAGGAAAAATAGTGTTTGAATACCTCTGTGAATGCTAACTGAACATTACCCTAAATCCATCACAACTGTCAACCTAAATCCGCCAAAATGTGTTAAACTGCAACATCATTGGATTTGTTTTCTTTTTTCTTATTTGGCTCTGCGCAGACATGTCTTCTTTTAATAGGTCAGTGAAGTAGGACAGTCTCCTAAAAAAAGAGGGCAAGTGGGGATAAATTTGGTGCAATGCTATTTCTGTGCCCAGTTGTTACCTGCGTGAACTTCATTTTGCTTGTCATGGTTTGTTCGTCTTCATTCAAGTGTCGTCGTCGGGGGGTAACTGCAGCAAGCAGCTGTAATTTGCAGGACAGCATGGTTCAGATTGTGTATGAAATCGTGAATGTTACTCATGGTTATTGGAGGCGATGGAGTAGGTGTGTGTGGGCGTGTGTGTGTGTGTGTGTGTGTGTGTGTGTGTGTGTGTGTGTGTGTGTGTGTGTGTGTGTGTGGGGTGTGTGGGGTGTGTGTGTGTGTGTGTGTGTGTGTACCAGGGGTCATCCCCGGGTTGACGCTTGCTCACCCCTTTTCTTACCTCACCTAAACATGTATGCAGATGTCAGCTGACATGTTGTTGTGTTCTTTGTATGTATTTGATGATTTATGTTGTATGATCATCACAAATATGGTTGTAATAAAATGAAAGCACAGAATGAGTGTTATGATTTAGCATGTTTTCTTTTCCCTCTCACAAACACAGCAGGCCAGTTTTACAATCTTATAACTTTTCTTATTTCCAGATTGACTTTAATTGTGCGTGATATTTGTGGTTGCATATTTTCCTTCCTCAGCTGGTGGATGTTTGCTAAATACTGCCTCAGGTGTTTTTGTAGCAGCAAAGCCAGAGTGAATATGAGCATGTTTATTAGTCCAAGGCGAAGTTGATGATGTCTCCAGTGACCACATCTGGAGGTCACCTGAGAGAGCTGTTGGCTCACTCCATTAAGAGGGGTTACTGGCTCAGCTCCTGTTTCTCCTCTCTTCCCCAGTCTCGTTTTGTAGCAAATCCGTGATGCATAAACCATAAATATGTTTTCGTTTTGTTACATTGCATTAACACTGAGTTGTTTTTTCTTCTTTTTATTCCATCTTAGCTGCTGCTCCAAAGTTAAAACCAATCAAGAATCCGATCGTCGTTAGTGAAGGAAACAAGCTTACGGTGAAGTGTGAGGCCACAGGAAAGCCTGTCCCAATCTACAGATGGTTTAAAGATGGCAATGAGCTGACAAGTAGTCGAAAAGTCAAGATCAAGTCCAACTTGTGAGTACAAAGAATCGTTTTCCAGTAAGCCAAACGCTATCACACTATCAAGAATGTTGTAAGTTGTCTACAAATGATCTCCTTGTAGTTGGCCACCATCTAATAAAAAACTTAGACAATGAAAGAATCAATAGAACAGCTGTGATATTTCACTTTTTACACTACGGTTTAATCCGAAATAACCTTAAAATTTTCCGTTCATAGATTAAGTTTATACACCAGTGGTGTTGCACTGCCATCTACCTCCATTTCTGATTAAAAAAACTTTCAGCTTTTATGTAAATAGAAATAAGGGTGATAACAGCTTAAGCGTTTGTGAAATCGTATTCTCATAAACGGATATTTTTGAGGACAAAGCATTTTTTTAAAACACTCATTGTCTTTGCTTTTGGTTCCTCTTAGGCAATGCTTTAGCTTGAATCCATTAGCTTTGCTTAGCCTCTCTTGGATTAGCCATTCACTTCAGACTCAGACTATTAGCTTAGTCTTTAGATTCAGATAATTAGTTTGACCCTTTTTTGATTAGCTGTGGGCTTCATTCTTTAAAACTAACTACTTTGGATTTATACAAAATAAAGAACATCAAGCCAGTTATGCGCTAAAGGACGTTAGGGCTTATGACTTAACCTCACTTCAAAAATCCTGAACTATGTCTTTCAGAAAACATTTTACAGTTAGTTGTAGCTTTTAGCTTAGTTAAAAGCTAAGTTACTAGTTTAAGTATTTCGTTAAAAGAAGTCTTACCAAGTCTTAAATTAGTGTAGAGGCCATATAATGTTGCTGTCGCCAGCATCTTTTTTGTAATAAGCTTACATAACTTAGAGAAGCAGTTCAAAGCATTTAGCCAAAGATAAAGAAAAACAGCTTTTCATTGTGCTTAAATCCTGTAATTTCTCCTGTTTGACAAAGTGGCTAATGGTGAGCTAAAGTTAAACATAGTCACTGTGAGGAGAAAATACCCAAAATAAGAGCTTATGTTGACAATATAATAGCAAAGTCTTTATTGATAGTAGAAATGTAAATAAGTTAAGCTGCAAAAGAACATGTTAGGTAACCTGGATGCCATACTGAAGCATCATAAGTTAGAAATGAGCATGTGCCATGATTGCTCTTCATCCTCTTTGTCTCTCTACATGTTGTATTTCCATACCTTTTTTTTCCTCCCTGCCCTGATTCCCCTGACTCAGCTGTGCAAGTGTTGTCACCCGCAGGAAATCCTCCAAAGTCCAGATCAACAGAGCGAAACTGGAGGATTCTGGGAATTATACGTGTGTGGTGGAGAACTCGCTGGGGAAGGACAACTCCACTGGCACCGTCAACGTACAAAGCAGTGAGTACCGACTCCCGAGCAACAGGCAGAGCAGCGCAGATGTGCTGCCATTGTTGTTGTTGTTGTTGCGACTGTTCTCTTGCCAATTGAGAGATATGACAGAGTCAGATGGCATGAGGGATAGTAACATGCATGGAGAACAACTGTCCACACATGTGGTTTTGGCCTACTATTCAGTGGAATGGCGCATTATACTTGGCAATGAGCAACAGTGAAATGTATCGGAAGGTTTGTCTATTTCAAACAAGAACAGCAACTAATTAAAATGGGAAGTTTCAAAAGGAGTATGGGATAGAAGTTAATGGGACTGTTTGGTAGACATTGATGTCTGTGGGTTACAGATTTTCACAAAGCGCAGTAGCAGATGAAAGAGTTTTGATAACAGCTGCTTCCATTTGGTGAGGTGGTGAGTTTGCCTTTGGTCCAAGAAGTGTTGTGAAAGCTCAAGGCTGCTCTTTGTAGCTTTTATTTCTATGTGGATTGGTATAAAATAACGCAAGAGTTGAAGGAATCTCACCTACAGATCTTCTGCTTCTTATCAAGAAAGAACATGCTGGATATTGGATCCAGATTGTTCAAAAAAGATGCTGCATTGAACTTTCTGTGAAAGATGAAAACATATCTGTACAAGTTCTATGAAATGTACAGAATATACTCCTTACCTTAGAATTCATCCATATCTATTCATTTTATAACTACAGACTTTACTGTATTTTAATGAAATTTTATCTGAGGTGCATAATTATGAAGTTAAAACAAAATAGTCAAATCTAAAATGTGTGGTAAACATTTTCATTCAGACTTATTCACTTTGTTACCACTGAAGAATTCCCATGCAACAAGTTATGCATGCAATCAAACTTTTGGATGCCTTCTGACTGTGGTCTAATGTCAGTGGGATAAGTGGTTTGTTAGAGAACATTAGTAAAAACCAGATAGGTCAGAAAGAAATTTGCAGTTTACATTGTAAAGCCATGTGGAAGACACAACAAACATCTGGAAGAAGGTGAAGGTTAAAACTGAACTTTTTGGCCTAAAGGCAAAAAGGTTCATGGTTATGCATTACATATTGTTGGTCTATTACATAAAATCCCGATATTATACATCCAAATCTTTGGTTACACCATAGCAAAAAGTCAAAAAGATGAAGGGGAGTTAATTATCAAGGCTCTCAATAGTTTTGAATATTGTGTGACTTCAAAACAATGGACAGCATTTTTGACCTTGACAGCTGGTTGATTTTTGTTGACATCCCACAAACTTAGAGATATAGCTGCCGAAAAAAGATGAAAAGTCAGTTTCAGCAACCGGGGGCTCTTGAGTTACACTTAGTGTCCTTGTAATCACTTTCAGGCACAACATTCACTCCCCCTTCGTTCTTTGCATTAGTCAAGGCCACATTTTTCGAGCTATTGTTTAGCATTTGCAGTCTTAAGCTTGAGCTGCATTATTAGAGTATAGCTGCTCTTCTCAGAGAAAGGAAGCGCCCATTGTGTTTGGGAAAAACAGAGAAGGCTTGATATCCAGCAAACAATTTTTGCAGAAAAGAAGCCATCCATCTTGTGTTTTTAAATCAGCTGCAGCTTGCCTCTTTTATTTTTCTGACATCTAAAAAGCTTTAGCTGAGTTTTATGAGCGGATCATGTGACTCCTACTTTATGCGTACAGTGCGACACTCGGCTTTGTCCAGACACGGTGTCTTATTTCTCTTTGCCAAGATCAATGCAATATTTATGCATCCTTATAAGACATACTGTGCTGACATTTATTAAATGTTAATGTCATACAGGTAAGTCACTGCACAACAACCACGTTTATTGGCAATTAAAACAAAATGGGTTGAATCATGCTCTGAAGCCTCAGAGGTTGGAGAATCCCTGGTGACAGCACCTGCTTGTCTTCATATTCAGTGAAATCTCAAGAGCATGTGATTGGTGGTCCATGAAACTATATATGATGATCTTAGCAGGCTGAAATCCTGGTGATGCAGAAATATCAAAGAAAATCTAAAATTACAAAGCACTGAGCATGTGGGCTTATTCCCACAGTAGCCATAATGGAGAAAACATGACGGAGCAGCATTATGGAACGGTGTTTTCACTTGCAGTGCAGACGATTTAAAACAAGTTGAACAGGATATCCTTACGTGTAGCGCAATGTATAATAAACAAGAGCTGGCAACTGGTAGAGCAGACACTAAAGCAAAGAAAAAATATGTTTCTTATTCACCATCTATGCACATCTTTGTGTAAAAGCATCCCTGTGCTTTTTCATCTGTCAGCATGGACGCTTTTTTAAGTCGCTTAATGGCATAGCTGTTCTTCCTTTAAAACGCCAGCAATCACTGATTGTATGTCACAGTTTGGTTTGTTTGTGTACGTGTGGATGTGTCGGTTCACCCTTCCTTAAAAACATCCCATTGTACTCCAACAGCACACCCACTTCTGTCATGCTTCAGGGAAGAAGGCAAGACGGGGCGAATTGGGGGTGACATGTCTACAGGCAGGTCTGAAGACTTCGCTGAGGAGATCTACGCTAATTATCCATAATATCATAACCACCCACCAAATACTAAGACAGGCTCATATTTTGACTTTTAAGCATCACTGACTTGACGAGACAAGGACTCCATTAATCCTCTGAAGCTTTGTATTCATATCCATCTCCCGTTTAGTCCGATTTCTTTCAATTGGAGTAAATCCAGCGCAGCTATCAATTAAAAGTTACCTAATTGATAGAAAAAATTTAGATTTGTGTCCAGTAGTGAACAAATGCCATCGAGAAGATAAAAGAATACAGCGAACTGATTAGTGATAATGTTCTGGACAACTTTAAAGCATTGGTAGATGATAAAACAATATCCCAAGGTGTTGAGTCAACCGTATTCATGTATATCAGTGGCCCAGTCAAAGTCTGTACTTAAATCCCACTGAACATCTTTGCAAAGAAGTACAGTTCTGAACATTTGATATAATTTCTGTTTTTAGATGTATGGTGGAGACATACCTAAATGAACTGCAGCTGCACATGCAGCGAAACACAATATTACAAGGCATTGACTTGTAGAGTTGAATACAAATGGACAACACTTTAAACTTTGCATCACCTAAATGATCTACTTTATGTTAGCCTGTCATATAAAATCTCATTAAAATGCACTGACCTTTCTGGTTGTAATATGAGATATTTAAGTACTTTGGTATGGCACTGTAACATGAACTTTTTCAGTACTTTATTTACATTAGCTATGCTACTGAGTACAGCAACATGGACCAATGGAGGCTTTGTTCAGCCTGTTGCCAGCTTTCATTTCTTAAACAAAAATCTTCTTCTTTCGATGGCTTTAGGTAAGCCCCGGCATTCGCAGGCCGGAAACATCCCACAACAGCTGCAGATGTTGAGATGCTATGACTCAGCTCTTCAGGCATCAAATTTTGGCTGTTGCAAAAGTCTCCCCTGTAATCCTTAGCCATTTTTTTCTGCTTTCAGCATATCATCCTCATGGACAAAATGTCCACAATGTGCCTAAACTTATCTCTGGTTCTACTGTAACAAAAGATTTTTTTCACTGTGTTGTGGCTAAATATTGTATTTCTTTAAAGAGGAATGTCGCTGTTATTCCAACATGTGGTTACAAGGCTTAAGGTAGTTGTTTAGGGAAAATGACACATTGCCGTTAAAGAAATGCGATCAAGGAAAGGTTTGTTGGAAGATAAAAGCATGGTTTTATTAAAGACGACACGTAATTGATGAAGGGAGTTTCTTTCCATCCTATTGGGTCAGGAGAAAACCGGCTGTTGTGTTAAAGGACTGCAGTGAAGCGCGCTTTCCTGCTGCAGTATGTTGCCAAAGCAGCATGTAGCTGCAGTATTATCTGTGTATGTGTGCCTTCAAGTGAGGGAGAGCGAAAGGAGGGAAGGGGGTGCAGATGTAGATGGACAGGGGGAGCAAAAGAAGAAGAAGAACAGAGTGTGGATAAAGGGAGGGGGAAACATGTAAAACGAGGGAATGCATGACAGAAAACAGACAAAGCTATTAGTAAGAGCAAGAAAGATATATATTACTTGTGGAAGGAGAATAGCAGAGCAAGGGGAAAAAAAGTGAAGAGGAGGAAGATGTGTTACAGTGCAGTCAGCGGTTGCAAGCTTTTCCCCTTCTTCTTCCTGCTGTATCTGATGTCTGCATTAGGGTGCAACAGTGTTCCTCTTTTCAGAGTGTGTTGTGTGTTTTAGCCAAACCTGAGCAAAAAGAAATAGTTAAAAATCTTTTATTTTATTAAAAGAAAAAGAAATCACAGTTAAATTTTGAAGCCGCTTGGTGCAGCAGCATCAGTTGGACTCACAGCGTTACCTACAGTGTAGCACATGGCTGTGCCTGCATGCTGCCTAAAACCAGCACTCAGCTCCACCACATGGTGAATCCAGGCCACCACAATCTACTTTTGCAAAATGCACAGACTTTCCCAGACAAGCATTTGTGTGTGTTTTTTTACTTCCATATTTGATAGATATTCCAGAAATATATGTTCATGAATTTTTGCAAAGGTTTTAGGCAGTAAACTAACATGTCTCTGGCATGGTAAATATAGCAAAAACATTTTTATCAGCATGTCTGGGTAGCACTGAAGGGTGATGACATCTGAGTTGCCTAAACAAATTCCCAAAAGTGAAAGTGATAGCTGGATTTTGGTGCAGAAGCTTTTAACTAAAAACATATAAGACGTTTTCACTGATACAACACTTTACAGCTGGCCACTGTAACAATATTTATGCAGCAAGACAAATGTAACCAAGTCTGCCTCGGACAAGAAAAACATGCCAGTTTTCCTCAGAGTGAACCCCATCTCAGCATTTGAAGGCACGCAGCGGCTTCATGCCAGCGGATGGAGTTTGCCAATAATATTGATTGATTGGACTTGTGTGGGGATTTTGCTCATGCCTCTCTGTTGGACGAGTGGAAGAGAAACATACAGTGATTAAGTGCCAGTTACTGACTATTCT